TAAAAAGGAACCAGATCAACTTGGAACTGGATTTGGTCCCCTTCAACCAGCTGTAGTGGCACATAAATCAGCAGCCTGGGAGAAGTCTCAGAAAGCTGGAGACTTACACCTATTCATTCAGCGGACAACTGGACTGCGGGGCTCATGGACGCAGCTGCTTGAGACCAGGAAGCCACTACAATTTAAAGCAAGACTTTCGCTTTGTTAACACAATTAATAAAATTAATACAATTTAAAGCAAAGTTAATACAATTCAAGCAGTTTGCGAGCAGCTTCCAGGAGCAAGAAGAGGAGCCAGGCACCAGATCCTGCTCTGGAAAGGCAAGCAGCTGAGATTTATTACCCAGATTACAGGTAACCTTGTGGGTAGGCTACTGATAAAATAGGAAGAAACTGGTCTATCGACCCATCTTTTATTTGCTTGCACCTTAAAACAGGAAAACAAACATTTATCCCGAAGTCTATCTTGCTACCCACAACAGCACAACATAGGTTCTCAGGAGGTGGGAGGAGGGTGGCATGCAGATTGGCAGCAGGTCTTCCTGAATTTTCCAAATTTCCCTCCAGCCTATCCCCAATATTTATAAATGGCTGATTTTAATATTCCAATAAATGATCTCTGCTTGGTTTTATTTAAATGTCTTTGTTTCGCTGAAACTTTTGGAACTGGACTGAACCAGAACTCTTGTGGACTTGGAAGGTGTCAATTAATTGGAATTGATATCCTTGAGATATATTTATATCCTTGGGAAAGAGGGAGGTTTCTTATTTGCTTTCCTTCCTCCTTGTGGAATGCTCTTCCTGTTTCTTCTTTATCTCACGTTACGGTATTGTCTGACAAGGTTGTTTTTGTTTTTACAAATTATCTAACTATTTTAACAAAAATATGTCTGTTATAGCAAACTAACATCCAGTGCATTTGGTTACATCAATCACCGCTAGTACTTTAAGATGATATAGTGTATATGGATTATTTAATGTATAGTCTTCCTTATCTCCTTTCAGGTCTTGTACTTTGTTTAATGGTATTTGATGGTTTCCTTTACTTGCTGACCAAGTTAGTTGTCACATCTGCAAAGGTTCACGCTACGGTCTCTCAGAAACAAGTTTCGGGCCTTCTGCTTGGCAACACTCCTGCTGCTTAGCCTAGGCCCCTTGGCAATGGCCAAGGCTGGCAACAGAGTGCTGCTTGCTGGGCGATTGCTGCCTGTGTCTGACAACAGCCCTAACAAGGGAGCAGAGCCAGGCCCAGCAGGGAATAAAAGCAGAGTCCCCAAGAAAACAGGGCAGTCTACGAGCAGTCCACATGTCAATTTGCTGCGCCTCCCCCGCCCCCTGCAAGGTGAGCTTTTTTTTAAATTAAGAGTAGCTAACCTACACATGTAGTGCAGGTAGCAAAAACTCAGCAGTTAGACCAATACTTAAGCCCCTTGCTTAACTACAGTCCCGAGTGAGGGGGAGTTCACTAGGGAGTCACCTGGCAACTCTCTCACCTTGCTTCACTGATGCTTGGTGAGAGGAAGCAGGAAGAGGGAACCTTTCGGGACCAAGGAGCAGCGAATAGGCCAGCTTACAGGGGAGTTTGCTTGGGGACGTCTGCTTGAAAAGAGGGGCAGGAAGAGAGACGACAGATTCAGAGTCCCAGAGAAATGGCTGGAGGATGTTGCAATGCCAGAGCCACTGTCACTGCCAGCTCTTCCTCTTCTTGCACCTGTGTGGTGTCTGTCCAGGCAGGACTGTTCATCATTGAGGCTTCACCCAGGGCCTGGTTTGGCGCTGCGGAGACTGTTGCTTGCAGGTCCCTTCCAGGGACAGCCAAGTTGGGGAGTGCCTGCCATGTGAGTGGGGCCTCTCAAGTTGGTGGCTGCTTCTCAAGCTGCTACATCCAGTTCTACGTCCCCACCAATTCCCCCACAGAACAAGGAACAGTGGTCTCAAGTTGCAGATTGGATTCTGCCACTTTTAAACCAGTCTCATGTGCCAACTTGTGTTCTGTTATGGGTCTAGACAGGTTTCCAATCACTTGCACCAGTAAAAGTGTAATGTCTGTACCTGGCCAAAGTGCATGGACTGTACCACTGGAGCATAAGGAGGGGTGTGGGGAGGAGTTCCAAGACGGGGTTGGGGTTTTATACACTAAAAAAGTTACATGAAAATCTTCCTAATTCTCTTTTAAGCCTAAAGAAGAGTATATGAAGGGTGAGGCTTCCTCCTGCAACCTTTGCTTTGGGATGATCAGTCTTTTTCTCCTTCTTTGAACAGCTGCTGTTTGAAAGCCTGTCCACTGCAGTTGAGCTGCGTTCCCTGTAAATACTTAGAGCCACTGGCATAGTCTATTAGTTGGCTGCTACCAGGGTAAGTGAAATTTATAACCTAATGGTGATCAAATGGCATTTGCACCTCCATTTGGAGTTGGGATTTTTCTAAATAAGTCTGCTAGGAGTGGGCTATATTTTGAAGAGAAAAGCAGTGCAAGGAGACTACTTTGTATCCCATGTTGCTAATAAGACCTCCCTTATTAAACCTGAAGAAGCTTGACAATTTAGTTCTGGCTCTTGCTGGCTCTACTGTTTTGCTACTTGCATTTCTCTGGGGGGGTGTAGAGACTGCAAACCTGTATCCTTGCACACTTGGGTTTGCTGGCCTGCAGGGTTTGTGCATGCTTTTCTAGCGGCCTTGGGTTTTGTAAAGGTTGTCTGTAACTTCCCATTAGCTATGGGGGAACAAGCTTGAGTAGTGACTCTTTTGAAAAGTCCTTTGCGGCGTGCAGCAGGAGGGAGTAGTGCTAGGACTAAATTACTTGGGTGGGAAGGAAGGTGCAAGGCAGGTAAAAAAGGAAGCGATTTATTTCTCTCTGATTCTGGCGCTGCTGCATGTCTGGGGCAGAAGAGGCTCATGCAAGCTGCCTCTCGGGGCTGAAAATTATCTTTGAAATTCCTAGTCTGGATGGTTTAGCTGCTTTATTTCCTACTTCTACCCCTGTGGCGTTGCTATCTTTCAGCACCGGCAATCAGTGACTCTTACGTAATTAACCTCTTCTGCATGCCAGCCACTAAACAAGGCAGGGCGTGGAGCGTCACAAGGTTATTTTTACTTGACATGGATCCCAGCCAGTTTATAACCAGACTCAAAGGCAAAATGATGCCCACATCATCAGAGCAGATTTTAGTATCCACTCTTAAGTCTATTGCAGGGGTGGGCAAAATGCGGCCCGTGGGCCGGATACAGCCCACCAGGCCATTCTATCTGACCCGCGGGGCCCCTAAAAAATGTAGAAAATTAATATTTATCTGCCCATAGCTACCTGTCATGCAGCCCTCGATGGCTTGCCAAAACGCAGTAAGTGGCCTTCCACCCAAAATAATTGCCCGCCCCTGGTCTATTCTAACTCTTAGCTGCTTCGGTTACCTAAAACCAGTCTAATCCCCTTAAAATGCTAAAGAGCAGGTACACCTTACCTAGAGACTTCACCTGAATTTTCAGACTCAGACATGTCAAAGTTAGGCAGGCCAAGAAATGAGGTTTTTTTACCTCTCTCTTCTAGAAGGGGTCATCTTAGTGGGACACCGTGGTTTCTAGCTAGCTCCCTGCAAGGGTCACAGCTTCCAAGCACCCTTTTATCCAGCCTCCCCAGAGAAGTCCAACTGATCTACAGCTTTCTTACCAACTAACCTTTCACCCAACTGCTTGAAACCCTGCTGAAAATGCCAATATCACTGCTTTTGTGTGTAGTGTGCTGAGATGAAATCTCTCCGTGTCCTGCAGCTCTAATTAGCTTCAATTGCATAGGATCAAAGACACTACAAAGTCTCTACAGCCATGTGAAAGCTCCTTGTTTCTGCCTTGCAGGGAGCCTTGGTATCTTAGCACGGCTGAGTTGTTTGGATGAGGTATTGTAAGGGTCAGCCTTGCTGGCACAGCGACATGGTCGGGAGCTGTGCGCCCAGTTCACGCATCCTCTGCCACAAGAAGAGATGCAGGCAAATGCCATTTCCCACTGATGAACAGGAAGAGATAATCCACCACCCCCAACCTTGTTCTCTGCTCTTGCCCTACGAAGGTAGGACATTTCAATGCATTACTTAAAGCTGGTATAGTCCTGGCAGGGGAGAGAGAAAAGTGGGGAAACTTGACAGGTTTGTTATCCAAACACCCCCTAACAACCTTTTCCAGAGAAGACTAATACTAGGTCCCTAGAAAAATGGAGACCTCGCCAGTGGGTGATGGGTGGGTATGACTGAAAGTACAGGACTGGGTGAGGGAGAAAATGGCATTGAGTCCTGGCAGTGCAAGTCCTTATCAGGGTTTGAGAGGAGGCCTTTGAACTGGTTTCACTGCATTTCTGGCTTTCTGTTCAAGGCTGGTCAAACTGCATCTTATTTCCAAGAGACGTGCCGGATGAAAGTTCAGAGCAGGACTTAGGCAAGAGTGGTAAGTAGGAGTGTTCCCTTCGGTCACTGGAAGTACAAATATTATTAATATTAATATTGTGTTGGCTGCCATGAAGCCCAGGGCAGGGTTGAAACCAGCTTCCCACCCCCCCTTCCAAAAATAAAAATGTTCTTTGGGGTTCATGTGAATTAATGTCTGTACCTGTGGGTACAGACATTAATTAACCCTGAGGGGTTAATATGGGACTGGAAATTTGGATGTGATACAAGTTCTGATTCAACTCTGCTGTAACAGAAACTGGGTGTTTAAAAAACTGAAACTGCCATGTGAAGGCACTAGTTTAAATAGGCACTTCACCACCTGCAGCAGATAGCACCAAGGCAAATCTATGATGTGTAGGGTAGAAGGTCTTCTTAACTGAGTGCATGGAGCAAATGCTTTGTCAGGGTAATACTCCCCTGCTGCCTCTCCAGTGTCTCTTCTGCAGCCTTTCAAGATTTATTCCTCCTTTTTCTAGTGTATTTACAACCTATTATATAATTTCTGGGATTCCAGTACAGTCTCACAAGGTGTGCTGGCTTCAGCCACGTCACTTGGGTTGGCCAAGATGCTTCTTAAATGAAAAGTATGCAGAGTCTGCCCACGTGCAGCATGTAACTAATGGTGTTCAATCCAGTGGGTTTAGGTGTGGCCTGTGAAGCAACTTCAGGCCATGAGAAGTCTAAGCCATGATTTCCTTATAGTCCTGCCACATTTACAACTTGCTGATCTGCTGTCATTAAAACCAATCATCTCCTTCCTCTAGAAACTAAAGGAATCTCTAAGATCAAGACTGGCATTGCAGTAGTTGCTGGAGCAGGTAAGGGGCCAGCTCAGGGCGTGTAACCTAGTGTTTTGTTGGGTTAATCGCTTTACAGCGGAGGTTTTCAACCTTTTTTTTCATTTGCGGACCCCTCTGGAAATTTTGAACGGAGATGCAGAGCCCTCTGAATTGTAAGCGTGGGAATTCACATACTTTTGATCATAGTCATCTTTCGTGGGCCACTTAGACATAGTCTGTGGACCCCCAGAGCCCCATGAACCACAGATTGAAAAACACTGCCTTGCAGTACAGGGATCAGAAGATGGGGAAACCATAGTCCATATGGATGCCAGATCATGCTGGTCGGAAGGGAGCTGGGGCATGGATCTGAGCTGCCATCGAGGCTGTAGGGTCTCCTGGAAAGTAGATCTGTTGGCATTAAGTCCGGAAACCTTTATTTAGGCCTGTGCCAGCTGAAATACAGCCACTCTGGCTCTTCTACGGAAATGTACCCCTCATAAAGGATATCCGGTAGGTGGAAGCCCCAGCCATGCTCTTCTAGGGGAAACTGCTTTGTGTACTCTGACTCCCTAGCGGTTCCTACATCCTTTCCTAAAGCTCTGTCCCAGAGCTGTGCCACCAGAAAGCACTGCTGGTTGAAGCATCCCCCACACCCCAGTCTGTCCTGTGTCTAACCCTGCTCTATTTCAAATGCAGGAATATCAGTAGTTGCTGCCCCACTTGTACTGGGGGCAGTAGGATTTACTGGAGCGGGAATTGCAGCCGGGTCACTCGCTGCCAATATGATGTCAGTTGCTGCCATAGCCAATGGAGGAGGAGTGGCTGCTGGAAGCATGGTGGCAGTGCTACAATCGGCTGGTAAGACTACAGCACCGTAGGAGCCGAACACTCATCCACATGCACCTACTTGCTCCCAGGTAACTCAGCATCTTGCCACTTCTTCACAGTCTCCACTTCTTCTTTAAAAGGCAAGAGCCTGGTCTCTCTTTGGTTAGTGACCAAATCTATTGCTCACTAACCCCGTTAATATGATCTGCAGGGGCCGTGCTGTATATATTCTGCTATACGGTTATTGGCCTGGCCTCCATTGCAATGCCTAGCACAGAAGGTATTGTGTGTCCTGCAGTTTCCTGAGTATAGCTCAACATATATATAAGGTTTCGGATGTTGCCCCAGTGTTACGTGTCTTTTGTGTACAGTTGCCAGCCCTTCCAGATTGCCTGGGAGACTACCGGAATCAGCGTCCATCTCCTGGTGACTATCGAAAGAAATCCGGGAGTGTGTGCTGCATTGTCCGGATGCACTGTGCACGAGGCCGCCTCCTCCCAGGATAGCTTCAGTCCGAGATGGCAACCCTAGTCTTGTGGCAATTGCAGTTAGAGACAGAATTCCCCTACTTCAGGGAGTAAGAGGGGGGATGTTTCTTGAATCCACAAGACAAACTATGAAAAGGATGCTGTACATACACCAACAGCAGCATGCACGAGCTGCTACACTGGGGTGCATGTAGTCCAAACAGCCTTAGATCTTGCTGTAGATTTAAGTTACATGCTTGGGTTTCTTAAGAACCACAAGAGTGGCAAAACTGGGTGCAAGTTCAGACCCCAAACCCTAGTAGTGAGAGGCAGCTACATAAAGCTGCACTTGGCTTGCTGGACCAGGTCCCTTTAATGGCATATCCACTGTTTGAGGAAGTAACCAAACCCTGGTGGAGGTACAGAGATCAAACCAATAAAAGTGATCTCAAAGAGTTTTTCAGCTCCTTGTGCAGGAGGTAAGACTTCATTGGCAGCCCTTTCTCAGCAGTGAAGGCCAGAGGCACCTGGCACACCTTGTCCAGCCCTTGTACTTGGGTTAGAGTGAGACTCCAATGCATGCACCATCACAAAGGTCTGCTCTCTATCTATGGCCTACTATAAGGCAGACCTCTGTTCTTTTGTAGGTGCTGCAGGACTCTCTTTGACAACCAACATTGGGCTGGGGGCTGTAGGGGGTGGTGTTGGGGCAGCGATTAGCAGACTCTTCACCAAAGAGAAATGAACCTGCTCCTGTGGCGTTTGGAACAAATGCTGGCCGCTCACAGAACTCTTCAGCTCCAGCATCAGGGTTGCTCAAGCAGCAAGCTTATTTTAATTTGAAACATGTGCCGCCTTTGCAATGCTGTGGAAACCACCACTGTGAATTTACCACTTTCCCCTGCCTTTTTCCCCCTTTCCCTCCCAGTCTCCTGAACAGCTGTTGATCTCCTTTGATCATTTGGGGTAGGGGAGGAAACAATAAAAGCTATTTCCTTAAATGAATTAATTTGTTTCAAATTATGTCACTGAAACCCTTGGGAGGAGGGCCTTACATGCATGGTAAGGGCTGGAAGAGCAAAGCATTGCTGATGTGTGGAGGGCCACAGCCTGTCAGAGGTAAGCCTAAGTGTTTGTCAAGGAGATAGTTTTGGAGTGACTGAGAGCGAAGACCGTGCTGGTTTCTGTATAGGTGGATCCTCTCCTCTCTACCAGATCAATGCATCTCTTATCACCAGGCTGTCTCAATACCCAGACTAGAGAAATCGCATGGGACACATCTTCCTGCTCCTGGATCTACTGCAGCAGGGAGACTGCACTTTCCCCTGAGCTTGGCTTAATGGGACACTGGTTTCTAGCTAGCTCCATGCCAGGGTTGCGGCTCCTAACCTCCAACACAGAAGTCAAACTTACCTACAGCTTTCTTATCAACAGACCTTTGAGTCAGCTCCTTTCAGCTTGCACCCCTTTTGGAAAGGTTGATACCAGTGCTCTTGTACGTAGTGTGCCAAGATGAAATCACTCCCACACCTACAGGAGTAAAATAGCTTCCAGGCACTGTTTGGTGGGTGACGACTGACCCCAGGATAGCCCTTCATGCTGGAGATGTTAACCAGGACAGGAGCCAGCAGAGAAGAGTTCGGGTTCTAGTGTACTTAATGGAACCAAGAGTGGGAGGAGTGGTTTATCTAGACTGATTAGGACACAGGTCTATCTGCAGCACAAGCTGATTAGCTCATCAGCTGTACGAAGTGTGCTCCTTTCAGTTCCTATTAGGTAGACTCATAGGAGCCTCCTGTGGTTCAGTGGTAGCATCCTTGTCTACCACACAGGAGACCCGCGTTTGATTCCCAGACACATAGACAACTACAGCCATAGAGGCACCAAGCATCTGGACATAGTCCGGTCTTTGAATTCAGTCTCAGTGGCAAAAGGGGAGGTTGGAAAGTCTGGGCCAGCCTCCACTCCTCCAAAAATTCCTGCTCAGGCATGTGCATTGAAGGTCTGGGTGGCCCTCATGCATACACCATGATCCAGGAGGGTCAATGGTTGCCACCACTTAGAATCATAGAAAATGAAGGTTGGAAGGGACCTCAGGGGGTCACATCTAGTCCAACCCCCTGCTCAAAGCAGGACCAGTCCCAACTAGATCATCATGGCCAAGGCTTTGTCCAGCTGGGTCTTAACCTGCAAGCACAGAGATTCCACCACCTCTCTGGGAAACCTGTAATAGTGCTTCACCACCCTCCTCGGGAGAGAGTTTTTTTCCTAATATCTAACTTAAACCGCCCTTGCTGCAACTTGAGACCACTGCTCCTTGTTCTGACATCCGCCACCACTGAGACAGTCCAGCTCCATCCTCTTGGGAACCACCGGTCAGGTAGCTGAAGGCTGCTATCAAATCCCCCTCAGTCTTTTCTTCTGCAGACAATAAACCCAGTTCTCTCAGCCTGTCCTCAGAAGTCATGTGCCACAGCACCTGAACCATTTTCGCTGTCCTCTGCTGGACTCTCTCCAACTTGTCCATATACCTTTCTGTAGCTGAAGGCGGGGGGAAGCGAAACTGGACGCAGTACTGCAGATACGGCCTCACCTGTGCAGAATACAGGGAAATAGTTACTTCCCTCAATCTGCTAGCAACACTCCTACTAATGCAGCCCAGTATGCTGTTAGCCTTCTTATCAGTGTGCCCTTGTTGCCAACTCACATCCAGTTTATTGTGCACTTAACCCCCATGTCCTTTTCTGCAGAGCTGCTGCTCAGCCAGCCAGCCCCCAGGCTGTAGCAGTGGATAGGATTGTTCCAGCCTATCTGCAGGACTTTGTGCTTGTCCTTGTTAAACCTCATGAGATTTCTTTTGCCCTAATCCTCCAATTTGTCTAGGTCACTCAGAATCGGGGACTGCCCGCAGACTGCTGGCGGCACTTTTTGTAGGGTGTGCACCGCCAAGCTCAGGGGGTGCATGTGCACCCGTGTGCACCCCCTGCGTGTTGCCAGTGCAATACACAGACATCTGTTCTGTAAACTGCCCCTTAACTAGCTCCGGTCACTATGCCTTGTGGGCAGCCATAGCAAAGAAAGTACCAGATCGACCCCCTCCCCACCCCCAAACTGATTCTTCACCTCAAGGTGCACTGATGAAGGAGCACATCCCCACATCCCCACTGCCATGTGGGGATGTGGGGCCTGTCTGCAATGCAGCTTGATCAGGAGATTTGGCCACTAGTACTGTCATCAGGATCTTTAATGTATTTGTACTTGCAGTCCTCCTCTGATGTACAACTTGCATGTGGGGAATGGAGACCCAGATCCAAAACCAGACAGAGGCACCTCAGATCTATTTAAGTGCAAGATAAAGATTCTGACAACCCATCCTTCAGCTGCCATCCACCAAACTGCACAGCCACCCTGATACACATTGCTAGATGTCAATAGGTACCTAAAATTATGTTCAGCGTGGTGGAAAAATGAGAAGGGAGGTTAGGCCAGAAGCTGGAAAAAAAATTGTTCTGGGAAAGGAACCGAGGACCCTGGTCACAGTCTGGCCAATGTGATTTCCTGAAGTAGGAATGGCTGTTGACTCGCTTCTGGCCAAAATGTCAGCTATTTTGTAGCCCAAGAAAGGGGAGCTGCTGGAAGTGCAGTGGCACTCATCTGGTAGGTCACAGGCCACTAATCTTTCATGCAAATATTTTAGTCTCCAGTGCTGTCATGCCTGAGAACTCTGCACAGGAAGCACCCGACATTTCACAGTGGTCCTTAGTCCTCTTGTGTCACCAAGAGGCAAGCCTTGTCCTGTTGCTCCTCCCAGACCTTACTAGTAACATAACTGAGCTTAGATGGGCCGCATGTAGGACAGCCTAGTGGCACTAGCTGGACCCACAGCAGGATGGCTTGCAGCCCCGTTTGCTTAGCCCTTGGGCCCCTGGCAGAACTTGCATCACAGCTGGTTGGTAAATTTGCCAGTCCCTTCCTTCTGCTGGAAACAGGCAGAGGCATTCCCATCCTGTGTCTTATTTCAGCACTGAGGGCATAAGAAACTCAGTGCAGTAGGGTGATGTAGTGTTACCAGTTCTCAGGAAACAGCTTTCAGTTCCCTGCAAGGAGAAACAGCGTGTCAAATCAGGTCCTGAAAACCTCTGGCTCTGCTTCCTTCACAAGAGATGCCAAGATCCATTTGGATCTTTATGATGACTGAGGTCTGTCAAGCAATAAAGCCTTCACAAGCTTACACACTGGTGTGCAAGAATGACTTCATTATAAATATGCAACATACTGAATTACCATGCGCTCACTGACACACCACTCTTGAGATGGGCAGCTACTAGGGGTTGTCAAAGGGAAAACAGGGCCAGAACCCCTAGAAGGTCTTTGATGGTAGATCTAGATAGCATCTTCCTCCAAGGGCGCTATGGTAAATGTAAGGTTTTATCCCCTGTCCACTCATGAGATACCCCCATCACTGGCAGGCTGTACCATAGCGCTGCTACCTTTCCTCATGCAGAGACTGTCCTCTTCCCACTGAAAAGCAGTAACAGAGGATGCATTGATTTGCGGTTCACCTTTTAATCGAGTTCCTGGGACAGCAAGACACCTGCAAGTGGGTCTCCATGCTGAGCTGGTAGGAGGGGACATGAGGTCCATGTCCCCGGCTTGGGAGCAGGTGGGGTGAGCCATGTGGGCCAGCATCCCAGAGCAAAGCCCTTCAAGGGCTTTTGCTTATTCTTGTGCACTGAGAAACAATAGGATGCATGACTTCCTGAGGCTGGGCCTGCTGGGCCAGGGAGGGATGCCTGACATAACCAGCTTCCACCTGGGGCCCATCCTGCTAAGAACAGACTCCAAACACTGGGTTCCTGCATTAGACTGCTCAAATACCCCTATAATACACCTGTTTAGATGGAAATAAAGATACTGCTCCCAGGGTTAAAAAAAGCCTCCCGTTGCAAGCCAGACCAAGCAACATGATGATGTCTACCTGTGTCTACAACCTGGGAGCCCATCCGCGGCAGGGGCCGTTGCACAGAAGAGCAAAAGAATGACTAAGTAGTACTTGGTGCTATTAAATCAAACCCTTATTTCAGGGCACTGACTTTCTCTTCTCGTGTTGCATGTGACATCTTGAATAACAATGTGGGTTTACAGCAAGTGGCTCCAGCTCAAGGTTTCTATTTAAGATTCACTGAGCTGGGAAACCAAAACCTAAGAAACAAGCTCCTCCCAGCTCCAACACTGCGGGCACATAAAAGAGCGAGGGGGATGCACAGTCAGATGCAGTTAGAGGACTCTCCTGCCTGACTCAGCCTAGCAAGCAAGGTTGGTAGATTTTTCCTTTCTGCATTTGAATCTTGGGCTAATTCTGCTTTTGGAGGCAGCTGCGCTCTTCTTCAGGGCAGAAGGATGCAGAAGCAGGTTGCAGCAAAAGCAGCTGCTGCTTTTGCCTCTGCAACCAACCTGGGAGGCATCTCCAAGGAAAACGGGACTGAGAGAGGGCAGCTCGAAACCCCCTAGAGACACTTTGGGATTTGCTGCCGTGCGTTGCAAAGGCTTCCTGGATTCATCTAGGGAGAGCGTGGGTTCGTTGGAGGGGCTGGCTAGATGTGCCTGCTCAGGCTGTTGCTGTCGTAGCAATGAACCGTTCCTGGGGGGGAAGGGAGCTGGCTCCAGAGAAGGGAGGCATGGTGGGGATATATGCCCCTCAGATTTGTGTGGGGTGGGGGCAGATGTGGGATGCCTGCTGTAGGCTCAGGGGTCCCAGCCCTGCTGCCCTGCCCTCGGGAGCCCTGCGCCAGCTGTGGCGAGGCACCCCCTGCCTGCCCGGCAGCAGCGGGGGTGGCGGCAGTGGCACAGGGTTGTGCCCTCCGCTGCTGCCAGGGAGGCAGGGGGCACCTTGCCGTGGCTGGCACAGGGCTTGCAGGGGCAGGGCAGCAGGGCAGGGAGCCCCAAACTGGCAGCGGGCAGCCTGCATCCACATCTGCCCCCCCTGGGCTCTGCTCACCCCCAGCCCCACCACAGAGGCAGTGCTAATCCTTGCAAGGATAAAGGTTTGGATGTGTATTACCTTGCTCAGCAGATCTGCCAGCCCTATCACAGCGCTGGGCAGGACCCACCCAATGAATGCCATGTGGGGGGAGAGGTGGGTTGCAGGTAGGGTTGCCAACTCTGTTCGAGTTTCCAGAACACCAACGTGCCCGAGTGCTCACATATATCACTTATGGATTATGATGCATAGACATTACGTCAGGAAGGCAAATGCACATTACTATTACATTTTAAAAATCCACTGGACTACTGTTTAAATCAGATTCAACGTTTAATATTTATTTTAAGAATGCCCTATCATTTAACCCCTGGGGGACTCTCAGCAGTCTCCTGGAGATTTAGATCTAATTGCTGGAGACTACAGGGCAATCCTGGAGGGTCGGCAACCCTAGCTGCAGGTCAGCTGTTCTCAGCCGCGCTCATGTCCTAGTTTTAGGAGAAGTGGGGCACGTACCTACAAGAAAAGGTGTTTTGCTAGATGGAGCTGCCTTATGATGCCACAGCCATAGCCCCAGGCTTGTGTCTGTGCCTCTCTCCTCATCCCCAGTGGACCATGTTTTGAGGGGACTGGACTGGTCTGACTGCGTTTCTTGTGTTATCCTTAGCCTCCCCGTGGTGCTTCCACTGCCACCAACAGGAGCCCCGCCACCTGGATCCAGGATCACGAGCCACTCTGCAATATGTTTGGTAAGGCTCCACTTTCTTTCTTGAACAGGAACTGCACACATCCCTGGCACTACTAATAAACTGGCAAACTATGCGGGCAGCATGTGTGATCCCTGCACAACCCCAAGTCCTAGCCTCTTGCTCTGAAGCATTTGGCTCAGGACACTGACAGACAAAAGACCCTAGATGGCAAAGGAGCCTGACTTTGATCCAGTGTGGTGCTACCTGGCGTACATGGACCCTAGCTATGGCGAGTGGTCCTCTTAAACACGGAGGGCAGGAGGATCTTCCCAAAAGGG